GGGCAATTTTTGAATGGTTTGATTGAAGGAGCTTCCACTCGTTTCAGAACCAAAGCGTGTTTCTCGAAAAATGCAATGGTATCGTCGTATTTGGGAACGACACTGTGCTTGTTGCTAGCTTCCCAAAGCTTCTTCGTCTCAAAGTCAACCTTGGAAGCAAAACAATGTCTGAGAGGCCTAGTACCTACTTCGTACCCGTGGAATCTGAGCGAATCGACGTGTCATTTGCTTTCCACTTTCCTGTGTCATTGGCTTCAGCTGGAGTAACTTGCTCGCGTGGATGTCGACAATCTTCCGCTTATCCTTATATCGTTGTAAAAGGAAATTCCATGCCGCTTCGAAGTTGTTTTCATTGATGAATTGTCGATTGATAACACCAGCTGCCTCTCCGACAAGGCATCTATCCATGTGATACAGCTTCGTACCAGCATCCTCCGTTGGAAACTTGTTCATAATGTCCAAAAACATCGATTTAAACCTAAGCCGATGTTCCGGGTGGTCGTTTAATGTTGGGAGAGGAGTATGAGTAAGAACCGATTGCTGCACTCTAATTGGATGTGAAACACCTGGTGTCACTTGTAGTCGTTCATTTCCTGGTAAGCCACATCAATCGTCCTTAAGTAAGTTTCCAGAATGAATTCGTCAACTGGAACCTGTTCATCATCCGCTTTCTGTAGACTGGATTTGATGCGAACGACTTTTGAACAAATGAACTCCCGCTGTCGACAAAGACCCGCCAATGTTTCCGCCATTTTCCTCTCTGCTGCGCCACTGAGATAATAGCAGGAATTTTCGACCTCCTTCGTGTTGTAAGCGGCATGTAAACCGCGCGTGACAAACAAACTCACATATCCGGCTCGAAGGACCAAAAATATTCGGATTAATCTTGAGATTTCGCGAATACCTTAAGAAGACCAACAAAAAAAACTAAATAAATATACCAACCCACTCAAAGCTCTTCATAAAGGGATTCCGTTAAGAGGTTCGACAAATTTAAAGGATTAAAAAAAAACTGTTGGAAGCGAGAAGCAGTTTATCGCAAACTGGCGATCTGTGGCGAACAAAGTGAACGAGGTGGCTGTACAGAATCTAATTGGCAGGAGCAGGCATGGAAAATCATTTACATTTATTTCGTGCATTCATTTACATTCACTTGTCTCTAACTTTCCGAATACAAGCGGTAGATCTGCTGAGGAGTGGAAGCAACTACTGCATTCAAGACCATTGAAGAAGATAAACCGGATTCCTTGCGCTGCTCATTTACGTAATTCCAGAGTGACTTCGGGTGCGACTTGAGTTTCCTCTGAATCCCTCGGTGATATCGCGAATAGCATCGACGGCTAATGGGGTTGTTTACACTTATGCTATTTCACTAGCGCTAATGAGTTAGCTGCTAGCAAAAAAGCTCACTAGCATAATGTAAACAGGGCATAAGCGTCTACCAGCAGGAAATTTCAGGAGCAACTTGAATTCGTGCTAGTTGGCGAGTACACTAGCGCTAGCAAATCCGCACAGATGTAAACACCCCATAACGTAGTGTCGTTTCAGCGAAAGCGTACAATACTTATGGGGTGTTTACATCTGTGCTGATTTGCTAGCGCTAGTAAACTAGCCAACTAGCACGAATTTTAGTTGCTCCTGAAATCTCATGCTGGTAGACGCTGATGCCCTGTTTACATTATTTTTTCCTTGATTTGTTTTCCGTACTGAGCACCAATGCTACCGACGCCAGGGAGGCAGCTCCCACACCTAGACCCTTCCTATCAACCCATCAACTCATGAACAGGGGACCAACGGCTTTACTTTTCTTCCGAAGGAAGGCGTGATCAGAGATGTTATGCCTCAGAACATCTCGGCGGCGCCGACTGGGATTGAACCCAGGCCTGCTGGGGTGAGAGATAATCACGCTTGCCACTACACCACCAGCGCCGCTCTGTTTATATTATGCTGGTGAGCTTTTTTGCTAGTAGCTGGCTCATTAGCGCTAGTGAAATAGTATAAGTGTAAACACCCCATTAGTGAATTTTCGCAATGCGGCTCTCTTGGTTCACTTCAACCAATGCAGTACTTTTCGCGCTAACCGAAGTAGGAGGAATTGCAAAACTTAACTAATTCTCGTTTTTATCACAAGGCTAACTCTTTCGACTGAAGCGTAATCAAGAATATCCGTCAAACACTTCCGAAAACATTTTTTGATACAAAACAGTGTCAGAATCTAGTAGCAAACTTGATTATTGAATTATTAATCAACTCTATATTCATCAGAACGACACTATCAGAATGAACCAGGGGAAGCTCATAAGTCTTGACAGGTGCACCGGCGCAACCATCGGTAATTGAGAGATTTACAACTGACAAGAGAGTGAGACCGAGCTTTTGCGCTCTCTTTCTCCATTACTCTCTTTGCCTGCAATCATACATCCAAGTTTACAGCGAGAAATGCACGCTTTAGGCACCCATACATCACAAATGTTCTTCTAATTTAAACTCACATACTCATACCGGTCTGCAAGTATGATACACGTCCAAAGCGTACCAGACTGCTGTTTCCGTGTTGCTCCCGTTTGACGCGTGCCACTGACAAAAACGTTCATCAAACAGCATAAGAAACCGAAGGAGTCAAATAATAAGAAATACATAAACATACGAAAACTGAAATAGATTGCTAATGCTGGATCGGACGACGATATCGAGCTTTTAGTAGAAGATGATTGCAGGGATGCTGGTCCGGAACCTACTTTGAAGGAAATCAGAACAATCATATAGGCAACCAGAAACAACAGTGCACCGGGACAGGGCAATTTATACAATGAGTTCTTCAAGTATGGGTCAGAGGAGCTTCTAGAGAAGATGACAGAGCTCGTGAAGGAAGTTTTCAGAACCAATCAGGTTCCTAAAGCCTGGTTAGAAACTGTTCAAGTCCCCATTCCAAAGGTTCCATATCATCAAAACACCAAAGACTATAGATGCATCACTCTTTGCTCAATGGCGTACAAAATCTATGCAAGATTGCTTCTGAAACGATTGTCCGACCAAGTCGATCCTCTACCCGGTTACCAAATGACCTTTCAACAAAAAAGGAGTGCTTCGGATCAAGTGATTGTGTTTCGTCGAATATTGGATGAACGATGGAGAAAAGGGAAGCAAACCATCCTGGTTTCACTTGATTTGAAACAGGTATTTGACAGACTGGACATATCAAAAGCAGTCACCATTCTCGCCGAAATGGGTGTTTCAAAATCGTTAATCAACCGGATTATATCCGCATGCCTGCACGAGAAAACATCGCTCCAATGGTTTATGCAGAGGACGGGTTCGATCAAAAAAAATGAGAGGGGTAAAGCAAGGATGTCCTCTGAGCCTACAGCTGTTCATCTTGATGTTGCATCATGTCTTACAATCAGTCAACGAATTCATCCCGGAAATCAAATTGGCTCATGGATCGAGGATCGAATTACCGTGCATACTTGGATACTCGGATGATCTTGTGTTCATTTGCGAAGAGGTTGAGGATGTGGAAAGGCTCATCGGTGTATTAGAGCCGCTATTGAATTCAATAGGACTGGAGATCAACACTAACAAAACGAAGGTGTTATTCCGAGACTCCAGAGACACAAAAACATAAGCCCAGAAACAACTGCCAAGTTTGGAAAGTATCAACTCCCGGTGGTCACTATTATGAGATACTTGGGAGCATACTTGACCAGTAGTCTTACGAGAAAAGCTACATCTTCAGAACGCATAAAAAAGGCGTACAAAGCATATCATCATCTGTGTTCTTTCCTCAAGCAACACCCCTTAAATCGAGCGTAGTAAGAAAGCTTTACCATTGTCTAATTACTCCAGTGGTGACGTACTCCATGGAGGTTAGCACAATATTGAAGAGAAATCGTAATTCACTGCTGAGAATGGAACAAGAGATGCTACTGACTCTTCATCATTTGTGTCACGACGACACAGAAGTGCCTACGAGGAATGATACTGAGAATGAGCAGTCTAGCGATTCAGCAAACGACAACAATCATCACGAAGAGCGTCCACAAGAGGGAGTAGAACTGGCCACATTGCCCCCGAGTGTCTGGGTGGATACACGATAAGCAACAAAATAAGAATAGCAAGGCTTAACTACTACGGGCATATCCTCAGGAGCGATCCTGGCGTAACTTTGAAAACGGCACTTAAGTACACCAGAACCCAAGAAGATTGGAAGACCAACATATACCTGGAAAACCTGTATTCGACAGGACGTGGAGAGGAGCAAAATTCCCATTGAAGTATGGCAGGATATCGCACAAGAAAGGAGCAAGTTCAAACAAACCACTGAAAACCTGTATAGTAGCATGGTGGAGTCGAAATTTGAGACAAGCAGCGACTCGGACTGGGAGAGTGATTCAGAAGACCTAGTTCCATCAGACTTCCTTGGATTTAGTGATGAGGACCCCATAATGAGAGGAACCGATTCTGATGACGAGGTCGGTCCGAGGCAACGACAATGACAACCCACAAAGCATTCCCAGCCAACAGATGATTCAGCAATAACAACACAGTCAGTCTTGTCAGTCTTCTTGATATGTTGTTTTCGTCACAATTGAGGGGGTTCGAAGGAAAGAGGTGTAAGTGACTTTGATCGATTCTCTTCATCGACTTTCTCTTTCGTTAATAATTCAGCTGCAAACACATTCCTTGATTCGTGTGCCATTCTGGATGCTAGATGAGAACCTCCTTTATCAAACTATGTGCCAGAAATAGCGCAAAATCTGTTTATAAAGCTGTGGCTATCATAAGAGAAAGTCGATGAAGAGAATCGATCAAAGTCACTTACACCTCTTTCCTTCGAACCCCCTCAATTGTGACGAAGTCACTTACACCCCTTTCCTTCTAACCCCCTCAATTGGTTTCAGCACGAAGGCTGTTCCGCAACCAGCCGGCTTCACTTCTCGTCAGTGTTCCGCCGAAACAGAAGTCCTGAAAGGTAAGCAAATCTAACAAGCAAAACTCACCTTTCAAGATTGGCCTGCCCTGGGGCTTCGACATCGGTGGCATCTGCGGACCCGGATGTGGTTGCTTCAGATTCCAGGGAATGTTACCGCCGGGCATTCCCGGTGGCTGATGACCACCGCGCATCTGCTGTGAATTTGGTTGTGGCGGCTGGGCTGGCTGCGGAGCACCCATTGGACTTGGATGATGTCCAGCTGCTAGGTGGTGATGGGGCAGCTGCGGCGGTGGCCCTGGAGGCTGGCTGTGCGGTGGCTGAAGCGGTGGATGTGCGCCAATAAGGGCGGCCAAGTTTCTCTGTTGCTGCTGCTGTTGCTGGGTCAGAGGGTTGTTGAGTCCCATTAGAAGACTCTGATTATGACCACCGGCTCCAAGCGGGGGACGATCGTTGGGTTGAGCATTCGGCAACGCCGAACTTGATGGTGTGTTGATGGAGGAATTGTTGGACGAAAGCGGCTCAATTTCCTTCTCGGCAGTCATTTTACGCAAAACGGATGTTGGTGTAAAAGCCAACGGCGTAGGAGAGGATGTGTGCTGGGAGTGGGAATGCGATGGTGGAGTTTGCTTGGCTGGGGAAGCAATGGTACTAGTCATCACCGGGGTTGCGACAGCAGGCGAAGCAGCAACAGTGGTTGGTGCGCTATTTGCGGTACTGTTTGTCAGCTGATTTCCAATTTGTTGGTTGATGGCTGAAGGAGCCAACGAACTGGCTCCCGTTGTTGTTGCTGATGTCGTTGTAGACGAAGTCGTTGAAGATGGAGCAGAACTTGCTTCCGGCTGGCTACTGGAAAGAGTGTATGAGACAATTATATGAGAAAATGTGTTTCTTGCTTGAAAAAATAAAAACTTACCGATTCTGTTGCTGTTGCTGCTGTTGTTCCTGACGTTTGCGATAGTTTTCCCTTTGTTCTTCGAGCTTCTTGCGAATCAGCGCATTTTGCATAATTGACTGTGTGTGATACTGAAGCTCCCGGGGAGAAGGAATTCTTTGCGGCATACCATTGGGTAGTGGCGAAAGCCGCATCTGCTGCTTGGAATGATGCTGAAAGAGCAGATTTGCACTGTTGGCAGCAGCAGCTGCAGCAACGGCCGCCGCGGCTGGTGGAACTGTTGCTGGCGGAAGTATGGGAACACCACCGGGGCTCGGTTGGATGAGAATATTTGGCGAAACGACACGAGGACTGGTGTTGATGGTGCTGAGAACAGAGGTGAGGATTTCGCGATGTGGCTGCGCTGTGGCAGGGTTAGTCAGCTGTTGCCACAGGTTGTGCTGCGTCACTTCTCCACGAGCAACACCGTGGAGTAGGGCCTGTGCTTCCGGGCGCTTCAGGATTTCGGTCTGACGACCATCGTTGACCGGGTGATGCATTTGATTCAGATGCAACATCTTTTGGAGGAGTTCGTTTTGTTGCTGTTGATGATGCAATATATTGATAGGATGAGATTGATGATGAGGAGGATGAGCAGCCGGGGTAGGTTGGGCATTGTGCGGTTGATTTTCTGAAATTTGAGCCAGAAGCTTCTTGAAAGCATTCATCTCCTGTTGTTGGGCATCGTTGGATAGATGGCCAGCTCCAGCACCACCAGCAGCACTTCCTCCACCGCTGGCTGATGATGGTGTAATTAGTCTCGGAATAGATGGTCCAGTTCCGGCGGTACGAGTGTTTCCATCGCTATCGCTTTGGCGGAAACGAGCTTCAAGTTCTTCAACGCTATGTATCTGGCCACCGCTCGGTGCCGGAGGAATTGGCCCATGTGGACCATGATTACCAATATTGCCGCTACCGGAAACGCCAAGCAACTGTTGCAGATTTCGATTTTGTATTTGTTGATGATGTTGTTGCTGTTGCTGATGGTGCAATGCTGGATGGTTCGATGGATGACCCAAAAGCGGATGACCATGCGGGTGACCTGGCTGTTGCTGTGCCTGAAGCTGCTGCTGCGGGTGGTGATCTCGATCACGATGCTGAGATGGCTGCTGTTGCTGTTGTTGTTGTTGTTGCTGCTTATCGCCACGCTGGAACAACTCTAGTAGAGAATTGGACGAAGTACTGGCTGCAGGAGAGATCGGAGCAAAGTATTTGTTGGAATTCGAATCCGACATCTGATCGTCTAATCCGGTGGATGTAAAATCGTTGATCATGTTGTTAATTTCATCTTGAAGGGAAGAACGACGACTGTCAGCAAAGTGCGACGCCGCCGGTTGTTTCGGTTGCTGCTGTTGTTGATTGAGCCCGGATTGTTGAGAAGGCTGCGGTTGGGACGTGTTGTCCGGCTTGAACCATTGCGAGAATCGGGAGCCGCCGGTACTTCCGGTGTCCTTGCTGGCTGGTAGATCCGGCTGGAAGAAGAAAGGGGTTTATCAGAATTTGATCTTACAAACTTAATTCTAAAGTGGTGGCGAGTAACAATCAAATGTGTCTTAAGGTCTACTTACATATAACAAACTACTTGGCAGTGCATCAAGCTTGAGGAAGTCCTCAAAATTGAAGTCATCGTCCGTGATCTTGGACGGTCCAAGTGTGTTCGATATACCAAGCGTCGCTGTTAGCGCAGATTTGGCGGAACTCTCGCTGGCACCGTCGCCGGGCGTACGATTTATTTGGGCCTTATTAGGACTGGTTGGTGTCAGTAGTTGGTTGGCATTCGTTTTATCGTTACTGGCCCCGCTTCTGCCGAGCATGAGGACGTCGGAAGCGTCAGCGTTGTTGTTTTTGTCGTTCTGAAGCGATGACGACGGGGGCTTGACTTCCTCCGCTTGTTTAGCGTCCAGCAGATCATGCTTCGAATCGTCCCGAGAGTCATCCTTGTCCGATTTAGTTTCTTCCTCGGATACCGGATCGTCGAAACCACGCAGTTCTATGGTATCTGTTTGTGATGTTGGCTCACTGAACCATTCGGGTTCTTCGTCTCGGCCGTGGTCGCTGTACAATCGACGACGGTCGTGGTGAGACGAATGGTAATGATTGTAATTATTGGAATGGTAATTGTTGCCTCCGTGGGAATCGTTGTTCGAATTGTACGCATTGGAATACCGTGAAGACATTCGCGAATTGCGAGTATCCTTATCGTTTCGATCATAATCCCGATTAAGCGGACGCCTTTCGAAGCGTTCCTCCCGATCACGATCTCGGTCGTAATCCTTTCGAAAATCTTTGTCACGATCGTTACGATCTCGGGAATCCCGTGGATCTCGAGTATCACGAGTATCTCGATTTTCTCGCGTATCTCGAGCATCACGAGTATCACGAGTGTCTCGAGCATCACGGGTATCACGAGTTTCTCGAGCATCACGGGTATCACGAGTATCTCGAGAATCCCGTGTATCGCGTTCCCGTTCTCGGTAATTAGCGTTGCCCGACGCACGAAAATCATTGCTTTCCGGTGCATCCTTGTCCGGACGATAATCCCAGGATACATCTCGTGACAAGATGCGTCCACTGCCAATGCGTCTTTCCCTTCCCCCAAGAAGATCTCGTTCGTTTCGAAGCAGGCCTCCTCCAATGTTCAACCCGCTGGCGTTTGCGCCAGGAGCCGCAGGCATCTGACAACCCATATTGAACGATCTCCTTTGTGGCGAAAGGACAATTCCATCTTCCTTACGTAATCGATCTTTTGGATCACGCAAATCCATCCCACCGGAACGACGCATATCCATCCGGCCACCTCCACCACTAGAAGATCCATCAGTGTTCCCGCCATTAGAGCCATTAGCGACACGATTTCGTCCATAGTTCCCAGATGATCCATTCCCTCCTCCATTTTCGTCCTCATACGGCGCTTCCGATGTTTTACCCATAGAGGATACACTTTTCCCGTACCTAACCGTACCTCTGTCCAGGTTGATAAACATTCTAGCAAGCTTTTCGGACCTCGGCTCAACCATGAAGGCTGGCTTCTTTTTGGAAAGTTCCAAATTCCGCAGTGCCAGCAGCTGGTTTACCGAATACCGCGTCCTGTTCGATTTTTCGCTGCTACCACTTCCGGAAACTGGAGAGTCGCTGCCGGAAGGTGCCGACGTTGACATGATTGCCGGATCCATTGCTTCCAGTGCATTCTTTTCACTGGTGCCGTCAGAGTTAATGCCAACAACGCCTCCCCCACCGTCCGCTGATGACGAAAGCGACGACGAGGAAGTACTTTTCGCATTACCATCTCCAGCACTTCCGCCACCGCCACTATCCTGATGGTTGTTATCCTGTATACTGGGCGTCTGGCGTAATGTTTCCAACAGCATCGACGACTGCAAATCCATATTTATCGCGTCCGACATTGTCTCTTTTAAACTTGCAAGATGCGAAAACAACCCACGGATTTAACTTTTGTGTAGAAAACTGACTCGTTCGCTTCGCTGAGGAAAAAGTTTCTTTTTTACTCGTTTCCTGACGTTAGCACTAACACCACCACACGGGGCAGTATCGTGTTTGACAGTTCACGGTCTACGCACACGCACACACTTTCACTCGATTGTAAAAACTACGCGATACGATTTTGGGGCACACAAGAAATGAAAACGTCACAGCCCCCTTCTTTTTTCCCCTTGTGGTACACTTTGGGACTTTCTCACTCACTCACACGCACGATTTTATCACAGATGTTTTCCTATTCCTTTCCCACCACTCTTTTTATTTGACTGTCTGTGCCGATGCACTCTCGCTTACACGACGGACGACTACGGCCCAAGAGGAAAAATTAATGGGGCTCCTTGCACTTCTTTGCTTGTTGGCACGCACACACACACACACACGAACCCACACAAGGAACAGATTGCAAATATCGAGAAAAATGGATTTTCCGTTCTTCTTATGCAAAATTTCATACACAATTTACAATTTTCTAGCTTACGAACACTAAAAACTACTTTTTACAAAACGATACTAGCGATTGCTGCACGGTTTGCGAACGTTTGGAACCGTTTGCCACTAGAATTTTCAAACTTTTTCGCAGTAGACACAAAAACTGAAATGAGGCAGCCATTAACAGTACCCAGAGGCGAAACTGCGATCTTCGGTTTTTGGCAGGTAGGAACGAACGGTGTAACTGGGTGGTGTGCGGTGTAACGCTGGAGCAGCGTGGCCAGATTGATCGGCATTCGCATTGACGAGTGCACGGATGAATTTGAGTTCACTCACTCGACAAAAAGTGACACAACAGCGGGGCCCTGTTTACTAAAAATGAACATATATGTGTTCATTTTTAGTAAACAGGGCCCCGCTGTTGTGTCACTTTTTGTCGAGTGAGTGAACTCAAATCCATCCGTGCACTCGTCAATCAAAGAGTGAACTTACTGCTACACTGAAAAAAGAATCATAGTTAGGAATATACCAAGGGGTAACCCGCATAAACGCGAACCATACATTTACCTTACCTAAAATGGTTAAAAATTGTTTATAATCCCTGCTAAACTTTAACTGAAATGGTTATGGAACTTTACATGAACGTTTAATGATAAAGTTTCAACCTTATGTATTATGGTTTTTTGGAACTGGACCTTACAAATAATGGGTTGTTAAGAACCATTACCATTCCAAATTCTTGTTTTCTCCATACATTTTCAGAAAGAGAACTATATAAGAACGTTTTTACTTATGATTTGAGAACATTAATGGTAATGGTTATGGTAGTCAGTAAGGTCCATTAATGGTTTTGTAACATCGCTCAACTTTACGTGGAATATATCGTGAATTGGTAATCAGTAAATTACAGGCCCACGCAAACTAGTCAAACAAACCCAAGCAGTCAACTAATAAGCAGACGCCTTGCAAAAAGTTAATGAAGATCATGTGTCAAATGAAATGTATAAAAGGTCACACATACCTTTTATGCATTCTTATAGGACCTATGTGGTTTGTCTTATGGAATGTATAAGGCTGATGTTTTGGCAAAAATGTATAAGTGAAACACATGAATAAAATAATTCATTTTCGTTTCGTGTACCAAACCAAACTCATTTCAACAATACCGAACTAATTTTTGCAGCACAATCACGCGGAATGTCATTCGACCTAATTAACTTACAATTTGAAACTGAATTTCACTTGTTCAGGTATTACACACAAAAAATAAAAATAGTTTTAGTAAAAATATCACATTTTTAAATTAAAAGTTTCCCGAATTTCGTGATATTAACTACGAAAATATTCACCGCAAATGTTATTCTTTTAGTTTAAAAGTTGATCTTTGACATTCTACTTTCTATTTTTAAAAGTGTGATCTTTCAAAAGAAAAGTCAAAATAACCTCTGTATGTTTTCTTTCATACGACAGTTTCGTGCCAAAATTAACTATGTATGACATTTCTGTATTTGATATGCTCCAAGCGGTATTATCATTAAATTAAGAATCCGTTCAACCTTGTCTTAATATATGATATCGGATGATGGAGTGATACTACCCGACTCTGTTCAAACATTTGACAGAGCTTTTAAGCAGGGGAAGTTAATAAGAATATAGTTGAATCAAGTGCTAAATGGAATCTGTACTTCATCCAAGTGTGCAGAAGTTGTCATTGCTTCTCGTGAAATGGTGAAATATACCTAGCTTATCCCTTATATACGAACGTCCAACGTTGCCAAGGGACCACGCTTATAATGTACCCGGATTCAACCATTACAGTAAGTGTTAAAACCTTTAAATCGAAATGAAAGTAAACACCACAGCACCAACCATATAAATATGCTTTCTGCTTCTAGGTCTGCACTGTGAGGATGACGATGCGAAGATGAGGAAACCCAAAGGATGAGCTCAGTTTCACATCACCCGGGAATGCGAATGAACATACCGTTTCCATAGTTTATTCCTAGTTAATGTCAAGGTATATGTACCCGTACCCCTAGTTAATGTCAAGGTATATGTATTCTGAACATTTTGATAGTACTAAAATACTAAATTCACTATAATTATTCACTTTCAGGTACGACGAATATCAGCATATTCATAAAAAATAATATCATAGCACTGGCACTACGTATACGCTTGGAATATTCTATTTTGAAGGCGCAGATTGCTCCCCTTTGTACAACGCCCGGGCATCGTCATGTCGACCACCTGCTAGGATTTCCAGGTTCTCTCTGCGGGAGTACTTCTTGCTGTTCTGTTCCGACCAAAAAAGGTTTTTCGGGATGACGACCATCTTCGGTGCTTCCTCCTTCGTTTTTAACTAACTAACCATGTCAAGAAAGTCAACCGTGCCGCTGCCGAGAACGACAGAAACTGCTCAACTCAAATGTCGTGGGTGACGGATGTTAATTGGCCCGAAGCGGAAACCCATTCCATTTCCAGAGATAATCCACCGACGTTGACTCTCTGATACTGGCAGACAGCTCTGGAGTAGCATTATAGCTTAGCTACGATATAAAATGTAAAATAACAACTATTGATGTTAATAAACATGTTTATGGACCTTGCAAACTGTTGTTAAAAACTTTCAAGAAATATTTAAAGGCATATAAAATCGAGTATAAAATGAAAATAGAAGCTTTAACATAAAACATACTTGTTTTTGAATTAAAATCGTTCAAGTATCACCTCGACAGTCCTACATTTTTAGTTTGACATTTCTACAATTCAGTTAAAAAGTTCCGACTTTTAAAAATATGAATAAGTGACGTTGTTGATTCAAGAATGTGGAAGCTTTTACTTTAAAATGTTTCCGCTTTCTACCAAAAAGAACCAATGCAAACTTTTAATTTCGCCAACGGCTTTTTTAATTTAGCTAATGATTTTTTTTTTGTGTGTAGGCAGCAGCTACTTCTTCTTATTCTTCTTATTCGCATTTTAAGCTTATTGCTTAGCGCATATTAGCTTTTTGCGTGCTCTCAACTTAGTGTTCTAATGCACATCCACAGTTATTAATTGAGAGCTTTCGATGCCAATACCAATGCATGAATTTGTATATTGTGTGGCAAGCACAATGATACTCTATGCCCAGGGAAGTCGAGAAAATTTCCAACCCGAAAGATTCCCTCGACTGGATCGGGATTTGAACCCGCCGCCTCCAGCTTGGTAATACCGTGCCTTTGCTGACGGGGCTATGAGGCCCCCAGCAGCTACTGTGTTACATGATTTATAACGAATATACGTTGTATACGAGTACCCCGAATACAATGTATAGTTCGTCTAATTTAACATCGCAAATGTTATGCAAAATTAGATGAGGCATATGTTGTATTCGGGGTAATCGTATACAACGTATACGATTAAAAAAATTAGGTAACACAGTAGTAGGATGGATCTCTTTGATTTGGTATTGTGTAAATGGAATCCACGACGAAAGGGCATCAAACAAAGTAGAAAGAAATATCTGTCTTCAGCTATCAATAATTTACATGATAATTATTATCCGCTTCATGCATATATAGTTACATATATTCTAACTTGATGCCTGTTTTTTCAATGTTGAGCTTGATGTTGAATTTTCTTTCTCAATGGATCAATGAAAATGCTGAGGTTTTAACAGAACTGTGCTGTGGTTACCACACTATTTTACATTTGATCGACCATATACAGTAGCGCCAAAAGCATGCTGTGGCCAGGGGGTAAGTCACTCTGCCACCTTGTGTTAAACACATCAAAAAACTCTTTGACACACTCAAACACCCTTCAACCACCATGAGAACCAATTTTTCATTCTTTTCTGGCAGCACTGCCTAGATCCAAGAATGTTTACATTCGTTTAATGCCCTTTTTTTGATTCTGTTGATTTTTTTTTCTGAAGAAGGGAGCTCCAGCAATCGGTAGGATTCCACAGAAAAACTGATCGGGACACGGAAGTAACCCTCACCCCCGCAATTGATCAGATGGTAAAGTTTTGAACATTTTATGAATAATCAACAATATAAATTTGCCAAAAGGTATAAGGGGATTTCTATCCGTGTAGGCAAGCTTCAATCCGCGTGAAATGTGCATTACACGGTAACCGAAAAATACCCAATAATGACTACAAAGTAAGCATTTTCGAGGGAGTCTGAGACTACCCATTAAATGAGTAAACAGATTATGCATTTAAGAGTATTTGTTATTCAAAATGAATACTTACTACTTGTTTTTGTAATTGTAATTACTCATACATGGGTAAAATTTTACTCATTTAATGGGTAGTCCCAGTTTCCCTTGAAAATGCTGACTTTGTAGTCATTATTGGGTATTTTGCAGTTACCGTGTACTAGTTATATTCACAAAAGTTAATAGGCCCTTTTCAAATGTTGTGCGAGATTTGACAATCGGTGAACACGCTATTTTATGAACTACCCAAATTTTAGAAAGATCTACTCATATCGGTCAAACGTTAAGCTACTCAAATATGAGTAGAATATGTTGGAAATGACAAGTTTATAAATGAACAACATCGGTCGGATTCAGGTCGATGTTGTTCATTTGTCAACTTGTCACTCCAAACTTAGTTTACTTATTTTTAAGTAGCATAAATTTTAACCGATATGATAGATTCTTCTCAAATTTGAGTAGTTTAAAAATAGCGTGAAGAGCTGTCCGATATTTGACGGTGTAAAGAACACGTTCGATAAAAATACACCCTTGCCTTTATATTTACCTGTGGTAATCCACAAATAATCCTCAATTTTAAACATCCTTTAAATCACTTAAATAAATAGTAGAATAAAAAAGAATGATTTAATTTCATATATTTCTTTAAATTATTCGACAATAACATAATGCAAGCGTAATAGTATCAAGCACACATCAGGGGAAACATGTCCGAAGGACCTAACTCGAAACGTAAACAATGTTCATTTTTTATGCGCTCAAGTATTGATGGTGCGAAAGTGAGGATAACAATTACAAACCAACGTTTTTGGCTGCAGCGAAAGTGAGGATAACGGAGAGGATAACAAACTGCGCACTTGAAAATGGGATTACGCAAATCTGCGAGTTATAACCGTCAGAAAGGTCTGTACCAGGATATTGACTTCTCGACGCAAGATCTCACTAATACAACCTAGCGAGCATAGTAAAATCGATTTGTTTATTATTTTCAACCAAGAAATCAGCTGTCAAAGTGTTCGACTTGACAGCGGTTTGTTTTTTATTTTCTACCAGTAAAATGCATGTGTTAGTTAAACTTCTCTCTAATACTAGAGGGGGTAGAGAACTCTATGGTACGCAGCCCTAATAAAAATTGTATGGTTAATTTGCTTAACGACGTGTTCTGGGTATCATCCAAACCATTTATGGAATAGTTCAATGATTTGGGTTATCGTTCGTTTATGGTAATTTTTTATTAGGGAGCTGAAAAGAAAACGGAAAAGTAATTTTTGAGGAATATTTCCAAAAGTAAATTTGACAGCTATTATAGGGAGGTGTCTTTTGCTAAATTTTGAGATTGGGGGTGTCGTCTAATTTTAAAATCAAAAATTATCAGTTTTTATGTTTTTAAAATGCCTTCAAAACATCATTTTTACAACAAACGTTAAAATTACCTAACGGAATAATTGATCAGACCATTATTCCACAAGGAAAGTGAAATTGCATTTAGAATGCGCCACTTTCATGTCGCTCACGATACTAATGTAATCGATCTTTCCTTTACCGATTTCTTTCGAACTGCGTACTGCTGTCAAGAAATGCTGCACGTAAAAACGTCATAACTTTTCAGCTGCGTACCAGGCTATAGGGTCCACTCATATATTTTGTAATGCCAAAAAATGACGTTTTTAAATACCCCGTAAAAACGCAATTTGTTTGTGTTACGTAATATTGGATCGGCCCTTAGTTAGTGCCCCATAATATAGGACTCTACTGTAAGCCCTTCTTAGCTTTTTCTTTTTCTTGCCCGTGCGTTCTCTTTCTTTGTTTGTGATTGCTGTTGACAGCTGTTTTTGGTGTTGATCGAAATCGAAATTAGAAATTTTGCTGGCTGAAAATTGATTAAATCGTTGTGTTTGCTGGAATCCCAACGTACAGTTACACCAGCACGAGACGTCCGGGACGCAAGCCATTGGCCATATTCTGCAGTTTGAGCTTACTACTTCCGTTTCTGGGAACTATGGCCTGGCGATCTCGGGGACTTACTAATGCGGAATTATTTCGTCAACTACAAGGTAGGTAGTAAGCATGTATGGATTTGCGTTTTAAAATTGCAAATTGCTGGGAGCAGAAAATGATTACCTTCTAGATCACGGAATCATCAAAAGTGAACGGGTTGCTCAAGCTTTGATAGCAACTGACCGCAAACATTACGTGGCTGGTAATTTGAATCCTTATATAGATGCACCGCAGCGGATTGGGCATTCGGCCACTATTAGTGCACCGCATATGGTTAGTACCTATTCAGCATGCTTGGTATACACAGTTTTGGTCACGAACTGCTCATTTGCTGATAACTTCAGACAGTTGACGAAACATAGTTCTTTTTGAAGCAGTAGATAGAATAGAGTTTAAGCTTGTTATAGATACGTAAAAAAAAGTAGATTTAATTCTAGTAATAAACTGTATTTGTTTTTGCGTTGTAAAAATGAATTGAGAAATGCTCGCTGCATATCTCAGACTTTAAGAGTTAAAATTCATTGATGTTAATTCAAATGTTAAGATTTATCTACTTTTTGCATATCTATAGTAAGCTATGGTCCTAATCTATCAATTACTTTAAAGAAAAACAAATTGACAACAACTGGTGTGTACAACTGTGTATGTCAAGCATGCTATTCAGTTTATTTCAAAAAAGGGTGAAATTCTACCTTTAATTCTTTTTCAGCACGCTTATGCTTTGGAACTTCTGGAAAATAATTTGAGAAGTGACAGCAAGGTTTTGGATGTTGGTTCGGGTTCCGGATATTTGACAGCGTGCTTCGCACGTTACATTCATCAAAAAGAGGGTGCAACCGGATTTGTAGTCGGGATCGAACATCACCCCCAGCTGGTTGCACTTGGGCGGTCCAATATCAAGGCAGATGATGAATCCTTGCTGGAAACTGGAAAAATCATTCTTGTCGGTAAGATTATTGATTATTTAACTGTCATAGAGCTCCTTACTTAGGCTTCAATTGTAAAATCCCAACAGAGGGTGATGGCCGGAAAGGTTGCTCAGAGCATGCACCTTACGATTGCATCCACGTTGGAGCTGCTGCACCGCAGACGCCACATGAGCTGATCAACCAACTTAAACCGGGAGGCCGCATGATTGCCCCCGTTGGACCGGAAGATGGAACGCAGTACCTTGAACAGTATGACAAGGATGCGGATGGAAAGGTGTCGAAGACCCGCCTGATGGGGGTTATGTTCGTTCCGCTTACGGATCTTCACACGTGATGCTTAAGCCGCAGAGGTTTCTGTATGGCATTTCGGGTGCTACTGGTGCTGACTTTGCTGCTGCTGTTTGCCTACAGTCTGAAGAGAAGATACTTTTAGACGGATGTCTTTGTGTGAAAAAAAAAATCATGAACATCTTCAGCGGTATTTTCTATGCTCGTAGAAAGTTTACCTCTTCTTGCGGCTGTTTGGTTAATAAACAAAATTGTACTCTTGTTTGGTATTAGTATTTCTATTTTGTATAGGTTTTGTTAGAAAAACAAAATGGTACTCTTGTTTGGTCTCCAAAATTATCAAATGTATTTATTTTAGGCCATAAATATACCGCTTGTATGACGTCAATAAGTTTGTTTTATTCGTATTACATATACTTTACTGGACTTATTTTAACGCCCCTTACAATCAAAGTAAACTGTAAATGTCTTCACCCTGAGATGAACGGATAAAATCAAGAAGTTCATCTTCAGCACTGTATTGTTGCCTAAATTATTAAAATTCAAGTAACTTAGTTAATGCGGTTAGTCGTTTTCGATCACCGAAATCTTCGTGCTCTCAGGATAGCTCTAATAGACACGCATGCATGTCTGTTTATTATTGTGTGAAAATTTTTCAAATCCGATGGAGGGACTTGGTTGTTTGCAGGAGCGAATCATATCTAACCATCTGGGTTGTCTGTTATACTTAACATTGGAACCCATAATGCTAAAACCATGAATGGACTTTCTATGAATCACGTGGACAGTTTTTGAGAAATTTTACGCTCACTTAAATCATTGTTTATGGACCGTGGACCGTGTCGAATATGTACAAATTACATCTATTCAGTTTGTTATTAGATCAAACATCTGGTGTTGAATCGGGAAAACAGTCAACGTTTATAAAGCTTTTAATAAGTCAATTAATCAGATCAGAGCAACAGCGGCTTTTTTCAGCACATAATTCGACAACTCTTCAGCATTGCACACTGTTATACAGCATTTATTCAATATATATGCGGCGGTTTGCAAGTAGATGCTATATACACGGATTTCAAAGTTGCCTACGGGTGAATCATGGTATTCTGCTTCGAAAACTTGAAAAACTCGAGGGGCACGAAAGTAATCCGCTCTACCTGTCATATAAGGATTTTCATAAAATTTGCTTCATAATTTTGATTTTTTTTATGATAAATTCGATTCATAATGAATAATAACACACACCTTCCGATATTATCCAATTTCATCTACACAGCAAAAAAAGTTGTTGAATATTACATCGAAACTGCTGCAACCAGGTTAATCCATCGGTTGTGTAATATCACATTGTACGATGTACATCGATTTTGCGAACAAAATTACATCCATTGATGTAATATTGTATCTGCTTTTTGCTATTACATCATTATTTCATACATCAGCTTGAATTACGTTGATGGATATTACATTTTTTTTTGCTGTGTACTGTTCATCGATAATCTTGGATGTTCTCAGATACTTCGTTGAAGCGTGAAGCCATGAACCGTATTGGGTCGTGAACGGCCATATCTATTGCGGGGCTCCCGGTACAGCAGATTACAGGGGTCGTTTAGATACATATACGGTTTTATCCGCAAGAATATCAGGAGCATCAACCTCGTTGGTCAGGACCTTAGCGACGAAAACTGCTTGCTGGTTAGACCTACGTTTCTCCAGTGTCTCGATACCTTGCAGCATACAGCGATGTTCGTATGGCTTCAACGCCACGCCAAGCGCACAAATTTTCTTTGTATCGCCTCTATTCGATCCGACCATACACTTGTATATGGACACCAAATCAATACTGCGGATTCCAACGAACTAGGGCGCAGTACAGTGATTTTAGGCATAGAGGGTCACGGAAGCCATCGGCGAGCTTATAGATGAATCCAAGTTGTCTGTTCGTTTTCGAAATCACATGATTGTAATGTATCCGGCATTTAAGTTCAGAGTCCAAAATCACACCAAGGTCTCTAGGTCAGAGATTCAATCGTTCTAGAACGTGGCCAGCAAGCCGATACTGAAAGTGAATCGGATGACGCTTCCTTGTGAAGAAAATAGTATTTCACTTCGCTACGCACAACTCAAGGGAGTTTCGACAGCGCTTCAATCCTCGAATGAATCCAATAGTTTCTGCAGGTAGATACAGTCCTCAATACATGTAATAACCATGAAAATGTTCACGTCATCAGCATAGAACACCCGAGAACCGGATGGTAGAACGAATGTCACATCATTTATGAAAAGCGAGAACAGCAAGGGACCTAGGTTATTTCCTTGAAGTACTCCAGGCGTAACCGTAATTGGGTTTTTTTAAGGGTATTGAGGTAAATGTATATTCGTAATCTGCGTTAAAAGTGGAACCCAAACCCAAAATTTCATCAATTTTGGTACACTGGAACTATTTTAAATAAGTACGATTACATTTGCAAAAATCACCTTATTTGCACCCCTCGGTGTCACTTTATATGGGAGCGAGCTGTCAGTTTGTTAGTTAAGTGTCAAACAGTGAAGTTATTATTTTGTTTTCAATCTTGATTTAAAAATCAAGATAAAAGTGTGTGGGTTCGAAAAAAATATCTTTGTGCTCAGAAAACGAAGCTCTTTCAGATGATGTATAAAAACCGACACATTTTTCAAAATTAAAGAACCCAATTGAGGCAAAAATGATTCTACTGTACCTCGTTTTTTTTTAGAACTAAAGAACCCAATTGTGGTTGAGTGAGACGATCCAATCTTCACTCTCATAGATCGATCTGATAGGTACGATTTAAACCAGCTAACCCAGGCTACAGATACTTCCTGTTTTTCCGAGGGGATTTATTCAAATTTGGCCAAACATTAGTGTAAAGTTTGATTTATTGCTTTGACTATACAGTCAAGGTTCCTATAGTACGGATTTGTTCTTGCCACCACACCTGAACCCTACCTATCGACCCATCAACTCATGAACCGGGGACCAACGGCTTTACTTCCCTTCCGAAGGAAGGCGTGATCAGAGATGTTATGACTCGGAACATCCCGGCGACGCCGACTGGGATTGAACCCAGGCCTGCTGGGGTGAGAGGTAATCATGCTTACCACTACACCACCGGCGCCGCTCATAAACGTCTTATCAGAATGAATTCGGAGTTATGACCGAAAAATGGAACCTGGGGACTACGGAATGATCCACTATAATATCCGGAACATCCGTTAAAGTGGTCCCACATTAACGGATGTTCCGGATCTTCCGGTGAACAATCCCGTGGTCTCCAGGGCCCATATTCCAGTCACAACTCCGAATAAATTCTGATAAGACGTTTATGAGTGGTTTCGAAAAATCCACGGAGCTCTAGGATCAGTTTCATGAAATGGCCACTTTTACGGATATTCCGGATCTTCCACAGGATTAGACTTGTGTCCTACCGGAAACTGAATTGTCCCAAAAGGTGGCCAACTTTCTGCTTAACAACTTCTCAGAAGATATAAGGAAGTTATCTCTTCAAATTGCCATACAATCAGTGTTTGGTCCCAATTAGCTCTAGTCCCATATGCTACGTGTATTCGTTAATGCCGGTTCCTATTCAGCATTTTACAAGCGCTTGTGGCCGCCAAAATCTGACTGAGTTTTTGGTAGGGAACATATGATTTGACGTTTGGGTTGTGTCGTTTGACGTGTAAACGTTCAAATTTGAACGTTTATACGTCAAACGACACAAGCCAAACTTCAAATCTAATGTTCCCTACCAAAAACTCAGCCAGATTGTGGCGGCCATAAGAGATCGTAAAATACTGGATAGTACGGTCCCTATTAACTGTACTATAGGAATCTTGACTGTATGTTTAGTATTACTTTTGCGTGAAGTCAACGATTTACATAGTTGAAGATGCTAATTTCAAATAACAGACTAAAGTGGTAATTTTTATACGATAGACGAGGATATGAAAGTATAGAATTGATAGTTCCGTTTAGAGGCAGTGTGAAAATTGCATTTAGAGAGTAGAAAGCGAGTTAGAAAACTTTTAGTAAGGTACAAATCAGTTTTATCATCTCTCTTTACCAAACTCCCGATTTGGAGAGGGGTGGTGAGGGGTGTCCTCCCCCCCCCCCCCCCCGAGAACTATTGCAAATACATCGTCGGTACATGAGTGGGTCGGTGATCATCTCTTTTTGCCAGTGGTGGCACAAAACTGACATCTACCACCGTGTTCGCGGAAAATCTTTATCCTAGCCACGAACACGGGTACAAAATTCAAGAGTTGGTTCGTGTGTAATCTATTCCGGACAAACTATTTTTATCTAGACAAAAATAATTCAATAGTTTTGGAAGATGGGATCGCTGCACATTTGAATCGGCCGTTATGGATTCTTGATCAAGAGTTAAGTTTAAGTTTCATGTCGGTTTGTCGGTGCTTAAATTTCTAAAAATGAATAATATCGATTTTTATCGGTCACATCTCTTATATCGGGTCTCATGTCTATAATAATCATGACAGGTAACGGTGACAGCCGTTTGTTTATAAGAAAGGAACGTCGCAAAATCTCAACCAACAATACAAAAAAATGGATCTGCTTTTGTAATCAAAACTTGTAATGCTCTTTTCTCGTGAATCGAAGCTCGCCTTGCCAAATCAACAACACCGTCGGCTAGGGAAAATTTTCTCCCACTGACAAACCGACATGACACTTAATTCTGACTTTTTCCCGAAAATCTTAAACGGCCGATTTAAATTGCAGTATCCGAGCTGTCAAAAGCATAGGATTTTTTGATCTAGACCAATTCCACGCCAAATCGGTTAGTCACCAAACTTGACTATCTTCGATCTGGATGATACATGGCACATATTTTCAGTATGATAGACCAAGTATTTTCCGCAGGAGAGGAGACCCTTTTGACTCAAGGGTAATTTTTGAAAAGGGCCTATGTGTTTTTGCACACATACTATAAAAAAAAATGTAGTTCGAAAACAGTTGGTTGTAGACAAAAATTTATTAAGAAGGAAGGAAACTAATAAGGCTTTATAAAAAAAATACACACGGAATTTTTTTTTTCGTTTTTTTACAAAAAAAAAAAATTAAAATAAACCTCAAAATTCAAATAACAAAAAAAAAACGTATTTTTGATTTTTTTATATTTTTTTAATAAAAACTTGAATAGAAAGCAGAAGTTTTGAAAACAACTCCAGGATGGACAAACTTTTAATAAAAAAGTTTTTCTAAGAGCAACTTTTAAGGCATTTTTGAAACTTTCATTGTTTACGGCAAAATACTCAGTTTGATGTCAGTATATAATTTTAAAAATCATTTCAAACGAAAATGCTCATATCAATAAACTTCCTATATGTAACAGT